TTCCAAAATATTAAGGTCGTTCGAAAGTTTTTTTTTACGACTTCTGAATTTTTTTTCAAGTTTTTCGGAGCGCATACAGGGAGTTCCATAGATAGGAATGCGCCAAGGGGTATATAAAATGCATAGGTATATAAATATGATGAAGTGATCGAATTTGTTTTGGTGTAAACAGTATGAATGGAAAAGTGAAAAATTTCAATGTCGCAAACATTTTCATACGACCCAGTGCGGAACTACCCTCCGTTTCAAAAAACGAGAAAGCGTCGGGTGCAGACCACACACCACAAGTGACGACGGCCTTCACAAAATGTAATGTTTTCTGCCAATGAAATGATTAGCCTGTTGCAGTTGTATTCTATCAGTTGTCACTAATTACAACTCATTTACCAACTATCAGCTATCACTATGAATCACTAGTTACCAGATTTACTTGGAGGCCGTCGTCACTTGTGGTGTGTGGTCTGCACTCGACGCGCTCTCGTTTTCTAGGACAGAGGGTATGTTTAATTCCATCGAATGAACTTTGCCTCGGAGCTGTTCGAAATAGTTACTGAGAAACAGTTCTAGAACTAGTTTAAAGGCAAAATTTCAATCATACTTTTTCATAATTACGTCTAATTTATCTTATAGTCTTGCGAAGAGGAGGAAACTCGCCCCAAAACCATCAGAGGCAGGTAGCAATTAATAATGCAATAATAACGGGTCTAACGAGCCCTCACCTTTTGGTGACGTCTGCTCATCGCATCCAGTTCAGCTTCATGACGACTTCGCTCATCTTCTAACGCCCGTTCATTTTCTTTGGTTTTTTCTGCCAGCTGAAAAATTCAATTGTGGTTCCTTTTCCTGCAACACTTTTTCATGACGTCTTTAACGAGTACTGTAAAGTGATAGTCCCTCCAAGTGCCATAAAATGCCCCACATAACGATGTTCGCACGCTATCGGCAAACACTTAAACTCTGTTTCCGAACCGCTAAAAATGGGCTCGACTGCGAGAAAAGCCTTCAGCAAACACAAAGCTATTCAAAAGGTCAGATGACTTGTGATTTATCGATTGATGGGTGTCAGTGATGAAATACAGTAAGTGAAAAGCAGTTGCAGATTGGCATGCAGAAAAGAACAATCCTTCGATTGTCCGTGCACACTAACTGCCAGAATAATTCGTTCACAGCGATTCCACCATTTCAACTTCATAATATGTCAATATATAGACAATTAACAAGTCACCCCGGTCATTGCACATGTTCCCTTCGTATAATGTATGCTATACGAAGTTATTACGTTATAGAATGGAATATTGCTAAATGATTACCTTAGCGACTTCTTAAAGATAAGAAACAATGATAAACTTGTCTATCAGTTGTACAAAACAACAATGTTTACCAGTTATGCAAAACAACAATTGTGGTGAAAGTGCTTTAAGCACCTTGGAATATCCTGCCAGCTACATCTAACGTATGTATGTACCCCTCCCCTTCAAAAAGCGAGAAAGTGTCGGGTGCAGACCATGCACCACAAGTGACGACGGCCTTCACAAAATGTTAATGTTTTCTGCCAATGAAATGATTAGCCTGTTGCAGTTGTATTCTATCGATTGTCACTAATTACAACTATCATTTACCAGAAATCAGCTATCACTATGAACAACTTCTAACCAGATTTACTTGGAGGCCGTCGTCAGTTGTGGTGTTTGGTCTGCACCCGACACTTTCTCGCTTTTTGAAGGAGGTTAGATGAATACCCGTGTAGCAGTCAAAAAATGCTAAAATCTCTAAATTTGATAGGTAGATTTGCAAAATTGCGGAGATATCATTGTCTCACATAAAAGGGGTTTTTGTAGCGAACACAAATGAAGTCTTGCAAACAATCCGTTTGATTTTTTAAAAAGCACTTTCGAAAAGCTATACAAAACAGCAATGCTCACATCCTTTCGAGACCTATGGAAAACTTGAAGAACCGCTGGAAATGCATTTTTCTGCTGGAAGAGGTTTTTCTCTTCCCATATTTTTATTCTGAAAATGGAACTCACAGCAAATGATTTTGAATTGTTTTTGATTGTTAACTGCTGTTTTGGGCCGCAGTTCGCCTTGCGAATGCTTCACCAAATGCCGGTTGTGAACACGTTATAGTGGTGGGGACAATTATAGCACCTCTCGCCTTCAACCCCAGCGAGAAAGTGTCGGTGTACAACAACACACAACTGACGACGGTACTTAGCCAAAACGTTAGCTTTGCAGTTGTCTTCTATCGATTGTCACTAATTACAACTATCATTTATCAGCAATCAGCTATCACTATGAACAACATCTAACCAGATTTACTTAGAGGCCGTCGTCAGTTGTGGTGTTTGGTCTGCACCCGACACTTTCTCGCTTTTGTCAGGGGTTAAGTGTACCATGAAGAGTTGAGTTGGAATGAAATGGTGCCTTGGTAGCGTTTCTGATAGTGCACTTGCCCGGGCAAAGGGTGTGGGTTTCCCAACTGACGCTAAAATTTTGTTCGTAACCCAGCATTCTTGTGGTACTCTAGCATTCAGGTAAAAGTTATATTTACGGCTAAATTTCTGACAAAAGGGCCCTCTAATCTTCTCTGGAACTTCTCGACCCATTTCGAAGAGAAATTCTTCTAAGATAAGCATCTGACACTTGTGAACGCAACCTATCGTGCTCCCTCCATGCAAGTGAACAAAAAGGCAACATAAATGAACAGGCGCCTAATGTGTAATTCCTACCCACTGGCCACTGATAAAAAGTGTGGACACCGAATTTCCTGAAAACCAACCTCACGAAATCGTAACGATGAGTGCAAGGAAACACCGCTTAGGTTCGAGGATTATTTTCGAAACTTAAAGAATCCTGTGATTGTTACCACTGAGAATAAACTACTTAGAAAACCTTGCTAGTGAAACACTAATGAGAAGGGAAAAAGGAGGTGCTTCGGCTTATTCAAGAGAAAGTCGCAGTAAATCACTTTACTAGTGATTAGAACATTCGGGAAAACAGTCATAGTTATGATCAACATAATGTCTGAGAAAAAATAATAATATCAATTTTATACTCGTAAAGCCGTTGCGCAATTAAATTTCCCCCATTCCAACAGCGCCCAGCGCTTGCTGCACTACCCCCCTTTGTGTCGCTTTTATATAGAAATCGATCGACATCAATAGAGTATAATTCAGCAGTCAATTATTCACTACCTGTTGCTCGTAGCGTTCCTTGAGCCGTTGCACTGCGTCAGCATGAGATCGGGTTACTGTAACGATAATTGCGACAACAGGTACAAATCCCGCCGACAAAATACAAATATTAATCGGAAATCGTCGACGTCCTTCGCAGTCGACCAGTGCACATAGTGAACAGATCAACAGAGACGAGCTCACGATCGAGAATAGCAACGGGCGTTGATGAACCGCGCTCATCAGCCGGGTACGGTACGAATCACGGGTACGGTGGGCAGGTTGTTGTGGAATGTTTTAGTGAGGACCGAATAGGGTTGAACACCGTGGTGAACGATTAGCACCACTGCTTAGTCAACCAGAATGCTTCAGTCAATCGACCGTATGTCAATGAGCAAGATGATTCGGGAAGGGACTGGCTGGTATACCAATGCCAGGGACAGGTAACCCCGGATATGGGATATATAGCAGCTGCTGCGGTGGCGTCAACGGTGATGGTGTGGGTATGTATTGTCTCCGATTCAGATGACGTATAGATAAGCGTGCATGAAAATCAGATCGAAATTTGGGGCGGAGCCGGGGGCGGTTCCCATTCACCTCTATTCGCATTTCGGCCCGAAAAACCCCGGATGACATTCGTATAGAACTGTTGCGACTTTATTACGAAGAGAGATTGGATGAACGGGAAGGGACGGCGTGAAAGCAGAGGGTAAAAGGGAGAAACCTGAGGCTCTCCTCTACTTCTAGGAACTACAAGACCTCTTAGACAGCTCTCACCAGACCAATCAAGGTAAACCTTCGAAGGTCAAGAAAACGAGCAAAAAGAAACTAAATGGTTATGGTTACTGACTGTCCCCCCCCCCCTGCCTGAAATTCCAACTTATACTAATCTTCCAAAAATATCCAACTCCTACAAAGTCTTAGAGTAGTCCATGTTCGACCTTCTTGCAGCCTTGGCATGATAAGTTCAGTAGGATAGTTCTTCAAGCCTTTCAAGACTGAGCACTTTATTAGGCTTACGTTTCGGCTTCTTCGCCTTCGTCAGAGCCTTAAACTCTGCCAATTACTTAGGCAGAAGGACGACCACCGTCGTACTTCTTCCTACAAAGTCGCAGCGATTAAAAGCCTAGGAGCTAGCAACTGTAGTTTTGGGCTTAATAACGTTTGACATAACCCCACACTCTTTGTACCAGCCAGGTACTCCAATGATAGTCCCAGTATGTACCAGCAAGCGAGTCAGTTGGTGAGACCCGGGCCAATCGAGTAAGCATACCCGTACAAGCTGGGTTGGGTAATGCCTCTGCCCGTCAAGCATATTTCGTAAAATGGTCTATATGCACCTGCCGCTTACCTAGAGCTTAAATAGCTAAATAAATACACCCTTGGAAACTTTGGGCCGATAATTGTCACCAACTAGACATTAAAAGTGGATTGATGGCAACCCTCGTACGGCACCATTTCACCAGGCTGCATCTACCCACGCAGGTTACATAACCCAAAGTCCAAAATCTCAACGAACACTCGATTTGGGCAAATAATTGTGTTAGTCAGCGGTATTATCGCTCTCAGCACTTGAAGTGCCACTCATGGTACTACCACTCCCAGGCCGGGTATCAGGAGTGTCCACGCTTTTCTCGATCGTGATCTCACTCCATTTCTTGCACAATTCCGCAAAAGGTTTCACAAGAAGTGAAGAAGAAGAATTTTGATATGTTCATATGAAATTTCAAAATTTGGCCTTCTAAAGCCGAGCGGTCAAAATCACCTTGATCGTTGTGATTTCTGTGTCGTTCCACATCCTCATGATGCAGTTTCTCTCGTTGAGCCAAAAGAGAACGCAGCTCGTCAACGATTTCTGACTGCCGAGCTGAAATTAATCAATTTTTTATAAAAAATGTGTAAACATGGTAATTTGGACCCTGCAAGATTCCCTGACTAGTCCATAGGTTTCACATTCACGCTT